AGAGAGAGAGAGAGAGAGAGAGAGAGAGAGAGAGAGAGATGAGGACCTTCGCGATTCCTCCTTCACGAATTAACGACTCCGAGAAGTTCTCTTCCGGAGAGAATAATAAATTCAAACGTACATTGACTGGCGGAATATACACAGAGAGAAATTTAATATCTCGCGAGATACTGTGTTGCACCTTTCTTTTTTTTGCAGCGAGCGACTGCGTTTTGTTTATAATTTACGAGGAAGACACGCACGAGAGGAACAACGTCTGCAACCACAGACTCGCAGACTATCAATAATTGGTTGTTTACAATGATCTCATTTAGCCTCAAGGAAATGTCCAAACGCGTCTTTTTTTAACGAAGGTCGCTCGATCTCTCCCGATAGGATCAGCTGAACTCGAGCCAGCGGTACAAATCGATAGACGACCGATCGATCGATCGCGATGACGAAATTTGAAGCACCGATGATTTTAATCGGAGCGATCATCTAATCTATAACAAAGCAAAAGATTTTGTATGTTATCGGCGTTCGCCGTGAATCGCGATGAAGATTTCGATATATTTAATAATTAACAGCGTTCGATTCTCAATAAGCTATAAATTCCGAGTAATCTAACTTTAGAAGCGCGCAAATAAGCGATAATACAAATCTCGTGTTCTTCACATTGTGTAATTATTTTTAATGGAAAAAACTTGTTACTGGCTTGTTTTGTGTCGCAATATGACAAAACAATTGATACAAAAAGCAAATTGTGGTACACTAATTAGAGGAAAAAGTAATTAGAGAAGCGAATTGAAATAACTACGTTGCTCACCGTAAGCATTCTCGACGAATGCTGAAATACGTAATTCAAAATGGGACACGGATGATCGACGGTCATTGTTGTTGCGTCGAAGTCTGGATGCTGCTGTCTCGCGTCACCGTAGCGCGCCTTGACCTTCTTATCGTCGATTGAAATATCGGTGTTTACCAACAATTCGATGCAAATGTGCTTTCGATCGAAGGGATTAAAAACAAAAACAAAAAAAAAAACAACCGCGGTAACGCGATATAAAATTTTCTACGCGCAAATTCTATCTTTTATTAAAAAAAATAATAATAAAAATTATTCGAATTTGCGACGAAATTCGCGTTGCCGCGATTGTCGAATCAACTCGGTAGAAAAATTATTGGCACAAATTATCTTTTACGCGTGCAGAAATTCAAACAAAGATGCGAAGGATCGTTGCGATCCGCAGAACGAATCGATCGAGACTGAATAACGTCGCGAGCGCCCGATCCGATTTCTTGCAACGATCGCGCGAGAGACGCATCGCGCAAAGGAGAAACCTTTCGTCGGGGAGG